TGAGGATTATAACTTTCTCTCAAACTCACTTGAGGATTACAGATTTATATGTGGTTCTTCTTCTTGTTTCTTGTTGTCAACTTTCACCATCTCCCCTCTATTTATAGGAGGATATGCCTCTTGGGTACATCACATTCATTGTATGGGGAAGTCCAAAGACTAGCCCTTCCTTTTCCCAATGCATGGAGAAAGACAATCTATCAATTCATGCATGTAGTCAACCACAAAATTTCTATGGAATAAATCCATATTAATTCATCTTGGAGATGAACCCCCGTTCCCATCAACTTGCAGGTGACAGTTTATAATGAGTATATACGCTTGTATCAATAGCCCCAAAAAACGAATGAACTATTGAAACAACAGCAAAGCATACCCAAAAAAGAGTGGGGGGGAAACGGAGTCATTGTCAATACCGACTTGTATCACAAAATGACCGAATTAAGAAATTCCTTTGCTTATTTACAGTACCTGAAACAACTAGATGGATCCATAATTGCTAAAGAACGCCTAGAAGTTCACTTAGTTCAAGTAGAAGCCTCACAATCATAGGCTGAGATAAACAATTCTGCTTGCTATGGAGAGATAGCAGCTGCCTTCATTGCGTTGAAGGCTAGTGATGCTCGGCGACGACTTTGATGGTCTAGGAGTCGGTGTACCCAGAAAAAAGATTTAAGTCAGAAATAGTTATACATACATAATTTTGATATTTATGTATCAAAGTATATATTTAACAATATTGTCAATCAAAGTTACACGGTGAAAGAAGCTAGTATATTGGACGTGCAATTCATCATTCGAAGCTAAATGTGCATGAACTCAGTTTAGGCTTTGGATTGTTTTCAATAGAGAAGTTCGCAAAAATGATTTAGCATTGGCATAAAATTTGATCCCATAAGGTCATCTACTACTTCTAACTTCAAAGGAAAACCTCAAAATTACTATTCATACTATAATAAATACTATCCTTACTACGGTACGAACCAGAATATTAACATTGTTGGTTATACTACAGCAATGCTTTTAGCCTTAGGCCAACCGTTCCTGCTAACTGATTTCCCAAGGATTACTATGTGTGCTACAGGGTGATTTTTGGATTTTAAACGTAATCTATATGCTTCAGTAAATATCTGTGGCATTTTATTCACTGTCCAAGCTAAACTAACATTTTTTAACCTTGAAAAAATTTATTCATATATGTTTTTGTTTTTGTTTTGCAGATGATGAATTTGACCATTATCAAAGATTTTACAAATATAAATCTTTTATGGCTCTATTATATCGCTAATTGGTATATTTTTTTTGTTAGCTAGTTTGGAAGTTTACTCTTTAAACAGTAATAAAAAAATTATCGTTGATGTTTTTATAAATAGTTAAATATAAAAATTATATTATTAATTTGGCAATAGATATACCTTGGTAAATAATACCCGCAGTAACACGCAGGCTTAAGACTTGTGTTAAAGAAAAAGAAACAAGAAAAGGGGGACTAACCAAGATTGGGATTGGGAGAAATGATTTTTGCAAATGACTTCTCATTATGTGTAAAATTAAGACTGATGCATTCGGCTGGTGAAGTAAACATCAGACGTAGTTTGCCCTCCCATGTCGCTGTAAGTAGGGCTGTCCATTTGGCCCAAGGTCCGGGTCTGGGCTTGGCCCGAAAACCCGGGCCTAATCGGGTTCCAGGTCCGGGCTTGGACTGCTTCGTCGGCGCTCGCACCGGGCTCGGCCCGGCCAGGTTAAAGACCGAGTCGGAGTAACCGGGCCGAGTCTGGCCCGGTCAAAACAGTCACTTTCGTGCCCGTTGGTCGGTCGAACCGGCCCGGCCCGCTCCGAACGGCCATAACAACGGCTAGTTTGTGTTATTTTACCAAAATACCCCCCAAAAACGATCAAAAATAGCCAAAATTTGAGGGTGTTTTGGTCATTTGTCTAGGGGGCTACCTCTATAAGTAGAGGGGGTTTTTATTTATTTTTCTCATCCAAAACTCATCTACTTCTCTCTAATACTCTAATACTCACTTTTGCTATCTAATTCTTCAATCAAATGGCTTCCTCCTCTCATTATGAAGGGAAAATCCCAATTCCCGATGTTAAAATGAGTCCTAATACTCCTACTACATGAGCTACAGTTACTCCTACTCCTATCGATATTGATCACGACTCCGGTGGCGACGATTCTACACCAAGAGCTTCTAAAAGGCCGAGATTCTATGTGGAACTTTCTTGAGAAGGTAAAATTCACCAGGGATCAACACGGTAGGCTTCTCACCCAGAAAGCTAAGTGTGAGTTGTGTGACCATATTTTCCAAGCTCATCATAAGAGCGGCACTAACCACCTGAAACGCCTTTTAGAGAAACACAACAAAGGTCAGACAACGCCTCAATGTGATATCCAACAATCTTCAGTCCGAGCCAGGAAATGCGTCATCAGGTTTATTATTCTTAAAATATTCATTTTAAATTAGTAGAAGATGATGAATTTGAAGATATGTTTACAGTTGTCTTTTATCCTGCATTTAAAAAAATTTCTCGTCAATTTTGTTAACGTGATATTTTAAAATATTATCACGATGAACAAGCAAAAATAATTTCTTATTTTAAAGTTTAAACTGTAAAATTTTTTAAATTTCTGATATTTGGACATCTAGAACACAAACTCAATATTTATGTATCACAGCACACAGGATTGATGATAATTGGTAAATATTTAAAATAATTATTTCTTTTATTGCATTTGAAGATTCACATAGTGGTATTAATATTGCAAATTTAATAATGGAAGAACTTATAAAATTAGAAATTTCAGAAAAAGTATTTTCTGTTTCACTAGATAATGCAAGTAATAATAATGTAGATGTTGATCATATCAAATCATCTTTGCTATTGTCATGTCATGGTGATATTTTTCATATGTCATATTTTAAATTTAATTGTTCAAAATGTATTTAGTAAAATTAAATCCATAATAGAAAAGGTTAGGACAGTAGCTTATGCTCATAATGCTTTTGAACAAAGGCTTAAAAATGGAAACAATTTTGTAAAAAAAATTTAATCGAGACTCATTATAAAAGATATTGACCATAGGTGGAATTCTACCTATGCAATATTAAATGTAGCAATAGAGTATAAAAAATATAAATGATTTTATTGCTTTCTATAATTTTACTTCTAGCTCTGATAGTATGTACGGAATAACTGAGGATGAATGGACAGTTATATATAGTGGAAAAGAGATGTTACAAGTTTTTTATGATGCTACTTTGTTATTATCTGGTTGTTATTATCCAACTATTATTCAAGCTGCTTTAAAAGTTTTAAATATTCAAAAAAATTAATAATTATCGTATGGATAATTATTTTGGAAATATGATTTTTTAAATAAAAAGTAAATTTAATAAGTATTTTAGGCTTATTCCTATTATTTTTTGTTTGGGAGTTCTTATTGATCCATGTTTGAAGGATATTGGCCTTCGAAGTTTGTTAAATTCTTTGTATGGTAACATGATAATAGACAATGATGATGGTTAAACCATTACTGCTCTTACTCATCATAATACTATTATAATTTATTTTCAAAAATTATATGATGAGTATGCAGCTAGATATGGTGTAAGTACATATCAGTCTACTGCTTCTGCTTCTACAAGTTCAAGTCGGCGCAAAGGTATGAGTTCTGATACGGAATTAATGGTAGCTGAGCTAACTGGTGGTATCTGCACTTGGATCATCAATGGAAGTTTCTAAAATTGATCAGTATTTAACTGTATCTTTAGTTAAATGTCAAAATAATAGTTTCGATATTTTGTAATGGTGAAAAGTATATGGAACAAATTCATATCATATACTTCCCATCATGGCTCGTGACTTACTAACAGTGCAGGTTTCCACGGTAGCTTCGGAATCCGCCTTCAATACAGCAGGACGTTTGATCGACGATCACAGGACATCATTAGATCCGTATACCGTACATGCGGTAATGTGCCTACAAGATTGGTGGAGGTACGAGAAAAGAACATAAGACATCGATTGGATGACTAGTATTAAAGATAAATTTGAAGAGTTAGAATTAGTAGATAGAGATAAAGAGTAGAGATTATTCATCAGTTTGTAATTTTTATTTCTTAGCTGAAAATTTATGATAAATTATTTTTAAAAAGTTACAAATGATAGTAATATGGATGAGTAGATGCCAACCTGGTTGGGATATATTCATTTATTGTGATCCGACGAATTCCAAAATAAATTTATAATTATAGATGAATACTGATTATTAATAAAGAAGTTATTTTTATCATTTTAATTTCTATGATTTTTTGTATTTGTAAATTATATAATTACAATTAATTAATAATATTATTGTTTTTATCAAAATTTTGTTTAATTTTTTGCTACATATTCTTGAAAATAAAAAAATAAAAAACCTGGCCCGGTGACCGACCTGCTCATGTTGGGTCCGGGCCCCGGTTTTGCACAGTCCCGGACCGGACCGGATCGGCCCGGTCCGTTTGGACAGGCCTAGGGATCGGCCCGGTCCGTTTGGACAGGCCTAGTTGTAAGAATAGTGGAACCATGATTTATGCAGCTAAACTACAACGCGTCTATGAACCAAAAGTGGGCATTTATGCAACCTGGACCCACTCATAACCTTTGAAGTATATGAATTTTGCACCACCAGGAGATGTCAAATATTATATGTAGGCTGACATACTTTTAATTTTATGAAGTCTCTGAATTTCTTAGAGGCTCTACATCCGTCAAAGCAAAATCCTTACTGTATCATAATGAAGTGTATATCCCTCAGATTCATCTCATAATTGTTACTGCAAGCCGCATTTATTTTCCGTTCTCATGATCTTTTTCTCTCATCACACGCACTCAAATACCCCACATAGCTTTCTTACTTAGTAAAGAAGAAAATAAGCCAAAAAACTAAATTTAATTGGAAAAAAAAACGTCCAAATGACATTACAAACAAAGAGGTATCACCCGCGACATACACACAAACAAAATGACAAACGTTCCCCACCTTCTTTTATTTATTCACCTCGATATATTTATTCAGGTGTAAAGTTTCTGCGTGCTATATGTTGCACATCAAAAGATTCACTTGCCATAAAAACCAATGCAATCAATTACAAATAGGTAACTACTAACTGCCTTACTGGCAAATTGCCTAGACACCCAATGTTCTAGTTTGTTTCACTAAAACAGAAGACCATGCATTTTTCTTCGAACTTTTATGAAACAATGACAGTTCGATGCAACAATAACTTGACCGGGGCATTCCTTAATCCTTTCTTTTCTTTTTTTTCCCCCCTTCTGAATGAAAAATTATTGTAAATTTCACATTAAGTGACCCTTCAGGAGGAGAAATGTGGCAAATTTCCAGCTAGTTTTCAAACTCACACCACCAATTAAACAAATACGATAACATAATAATTCTCGCCTTTGCCATATCCGCAGCAAATCTCATCCTCAAATACCCAATTCAACAAAACCTGCAAGCCCCAATAAAGAAAAAAAAGATGAAATTTAGGTTAGAAATAAAAGAAATTCAAAAGCAATAAGATGTCTGGTTTATAAATATGTGAATTACCTTCCTGTATTTGTTTTCAACCATCAACTAATAATAATAATTTTGTAATTGAAAACTCACATCCATATTTCTCAAGATTAGAAACTGATATGAACACAGAACGCATACGAGAGAATTGAACTTAATCCAGAAATGATTACAAGGAGCGAAAAAATATGGATGGGGCTCAAATATTGGCACAAAGACACAGGTAAAGATGAAGACTGGACACTAACTTGGAGGCCCAAAAGGAACATAAAAACCCCAATTTATTAGGAATTTCATGCTATGATGCAAAGTTACAGATACAAACTGAATGGGAAGTGAAACCGATAGAGTTGAAACATAAAATACAAGCTCTCATGCTAATTAGAAAGAAAACAATTGAAGAAATACATCATTATGACAGGCAGCAAGCTTATATAAAGAGTAAAAGAGAAGAACAAGACCTTCAGTTAAAAAGCAACTACCAAATTAAACAGTAGAGGATGCTTTCTGCAAGTTCGGTTGCTCCCCTGAAACATGAAAGAAATCCTGCAAAGCTAACATCTTCATAGTGTTGTGCTTCAGACTCCTAATAGCCTGCACGCTCGCTAATGCCCCAGCAACTGTAGTTATAATTGGGAGTTTATAGCCCAAAGCCATTCTTCTCAGTTTTCTTCCATCTTCAGAATCCAACGCATCACCTGAGCTCGTGATCACCATAACTTGGATCTCACCATTCGATACCATATCCCCTGCGTGGGGCCGCCCTTCATGAAGCTTCAGAACCCTCTCCACTGGTATGCCCTCCAACTCAAGAACTCTCGCTGTCCCCGATGTGGCAACTATTCGAAACCCTAGTTCTTGAAACCCTCGAGCAATTGAAGCAAGATGTGGCTTTGTGAGGTCATTTAGGCTCAAGAACACTGTTCCACTCACTGGAAGCTTTTGGCCAGCAGCAATCTGGGCCTTAGCAAAAGCAACAGGGAATTCATAATCAATCCCCATGACCTCTCCAGTGCTTCTCATCTCTGGCCCAAGAAGAATATCACACCCTTGGAATTTCTCAAAGGGAAGGACTGCTTCCTTCACCGAGACATGTTTTGGAATCACCTCAGCTGTGAATCCTAGATCAAACAAGCTTTTTCCTGACATGACTAAAGATGCATATTTTGCTAGGGGATGTCCAATGGCTTTGGAAACAAAAGGCACAGTTCTTGAAGCACGAGGGTTTGCCTCTAGAAGGTAAACATCACCAGAGACTGTGATCGCATACTGGCAATTCATAAGTCCACAGACATTGAGTCTCTTAGCTAGCTTCAAGGTCCACGATCGAATCGTATCCAAGCATTTAGCAGACACAGTTTTTGTGGGAAGCGAACAAGCAGAATCACCTGAATGCACCCCGGCTTGCTCTATGTGCTCCATGATCCCCCCAATTACTACATTCCCATAAGAATCAGCGAGCGCATCAACATCAATTTCAATGGCATCAGAAAGGTACTTATCAACCAAAACTGGGCGCTCTGGATCAACTTCAACTGCATTTTCAAGATAGGAGATGAGTTTGTCATCGTTGTAGACTATCTCCATTGCCCGTCCTCCCAAAACATAAGAAGGCCGGACTACCACAGGGTAGCCAATACTCGTAGCAATTGCCTTAGCATCAGATTCACTCTTTGCTATGCCACCTTTGGGTTGCTCAATATGAAGCTCGTTTAGGATCATGTTGAACCTCTCTCTATCCTCGGCTGCATCAATAGAATCAGGTGATGTTCCCCAAACTTGTACATGCCCTGTTCCACTGGCAGAAACAAACTTTTTCTCTTCAAGATAACGCTGTAGAGGAAGTGCAAGCTTAAGAGGAGTTTGCCCTCCAAATTGCACAATAATGCCGTCAGGCTTCTCCAGGTCGATAACATTTGAGACATCCTCAATTGTTAGAGGTTCAAAGTACAAACGATCACTAGTGTCATAGTCTGTAGATACTGTCTCTGGGTTTGAGTTCATCATGATTGTTTCATATCCATTCTGAAACAAATAAAATAGTAAATATTAATAATAAGATGGTAACAGTCACAATAATATGGTAATCTACCAACAGAAATGCAGTTAGCAGAGAAATTCTCAGTTTGACAATTTGAAAAAAAAAATCTGGTGTTTCCAGAGAAAATGTGCTACACAAAATAGTTAGTAAAAAAAATACATAGGACCTACTGTTGCTATAGCTTTGAATTAGATGGGTTACTTCATTGCAACATATATGGAGAACCTATCGCCTCTTGACTTATGCATTGATCTCCGACAATAATATGGGTCAATATAAGCATCAGTGGAGCAGTATATAGTAAAGCTTTGTAGCAGGGATTACAGATTCAAAATTCTGAGCTGCTTGCTTGGTGGATAAAGGTATGCTTTTTTCCTTGAATTATCCTTCCTGTACAAGATTAGCTTACTTGGTATGTGTGAGCAAATGGTGAAAAAAATTTATGTGCAGTAATAAATTGAGCAAACTGTTTTATGTGCGAGGAATCTGGGAATTTTTCTTCTGTTAAAAAAAAGGTGGATGATGAGGACTGACCTGGGAATTTTTCTTCCAACTAGTCCTAAAATTCTAATTAGCAAGCTGAAACTTTATGGATATTTACTATTGAAAACACTTTGAGATTCTCGATGTTGTGAAAGATGTATATATGAGTCAAGGTAGAAATGTATGATGAGGACTGAGCATCTGCCAAATAATACATGATGAAAACAGTAAAGAGGGCAAGTATCCAAGTGTATAAGGAGAGGGAGAAAAACAAACCTGCCGAAGGGCAAAAGAAGCATGGCAGCAGCAGTAATCAAACTCAATACCCTGACCAATTCGGTTAGGTCCACCACCCAAGATTAGCACCTTTTTCTTTTGAGTAGGAGCTGATTCACATTCAAAATCATAAGATGAGTACATGTAAGGAGTATTAGCCTCAAACTCTGCAGCACAAGTATCAACTCTCTTATATGCCGGACTCACACCGAGTGACAATCGCTTTGACCTCACATGTTCCTCAGATGAAGATGTCGCATAAGCAATCTGTTTATCACTAAAGCCCCTTCTCTTCACTTCATACATATCTTCTTTTGTAAGCTGGTCTAGATTCCTCGCCACAAGGAATTGTTCGACCTCTAGCAGCTCTTTCAATTCAGTTAGGAACCATTTGTCGATGTAACTCAGTTCATGTATTTCTTCCACTTTCATTCCTCTCTTCATAGCTGCATATATTGCATGAATGCGCTCTGGATTGGGAGTTCTCAAACTGTACTTTAACTTTTCCCACTCCAAATCAAGCTCCTTAATAGGTGCACAACCCCATCCAGCATAACCACATTCAAGAGACCGAACAGCTTTCTGAAAAGATTCTTGGAAAGTTCTTCCCAAGGCCATTGCTTCACCAACAGACTTCATTTGAGTAGTCAATATTGGTTCCGAACCTGGGAATTTTTCAAAAGCAAATCGTGGAATCTGTAGTAGACGCAAAGAATATGTCAAGCAACTATGTAAAATATGATTACAGTCAGGGGAGAAAATGATATAAACAATCACCAGAAGCATAAGGCGGCACATGAGGAATAAAACTTTGCAGTTAGCAGGCTCATGAAAATTTTAAGCGAATACTATGCATTAGAACAATTAGATAGCATAATATGAGGTTCCCGGAAAAAAGGTTGACTGTAACAACCAGCAAAGATAAAGCAGTGAACAATTTTGGCTTCTTGAAACAAAGAAATAAGCACAATCTCAAAAAAGAAAGAAAGAAAGAAAGAAGAAAGTGCATATAATGAAGCACCTCATTAGTGCATGGTCCGTCATAATGAATCTTGAAACATTGAAAACATACTTCTACAACAGAAAAGGAGGGGGGAAAGTTGTTGTCCTTAAAAAAGAGAAAAAACAATAAATTAAGTATATTTTTAGCTCCAAGCAAAAACCTGCTCTAATAGATAAATTGTGAAACCAACAAGATTAAGGGCGTTTTATTCCTATACACTGACTCATCCTCACACCACCACCACCATCAATAGGCATTTTCATATTGATTTGATTGTCTTGGAGAATGACTCTAGAAAGAGAAAACACCAACTGGAAGAAAAGAAGAGGATCCCAGTTGCTTATATACCTGACTTCAGCCTTCTAAATATTGGTCACAAACACCTAGCCAGGAAAGTATGACTAAGGGAAGGTCATATCATAGGATCTGAAAGCTCAATGGCTATCAACAGGTAGGTCTCTACAAACTATGAAACAAAAAGGATGACAAATGAGCTTAACTGACATAGTACAAATACTTAGCACCAACCTTACACCCAAAAAATTTTAAAAAAAAATAATGAAGATTGAAGACATAACCTTAAGAACAGAAATTAAACTATGCATTAGAGAAAATTAACAAAATGAGAGAATAAATTATGCCTGCTATCCCACATTTATATTTTTTCAGGTAATTGTTATCCTGATAAAAACTTTTCCTAACAGGAAATCACAAGAAAGCATTAAACTTATTACTAAATCACGTTCCTCAGGAAAATGGTTTTGATGTTGATGTTGTTGATGTTGTTGTTCCTCAGGAAAATAGCTGGGAAAATGGCTTTGATGTTGATGTTGTTGTTTCCTCAGGAAAATCTTCTTTTTGACTGGTTCAGTTCCTAAAGTTAGCGATGAAAGCAAGGTTGATTTGAATGTACTATATATCCTATGTACAGTCAGTGACAATATTACATTCAGGTTGCACAATGTTAAGAAGAACAGACCAGAAGAAAATCTGAGGCAACTACACATAAACTGGACTAAAGAAACATTGAATCAAACCAGCAGTAAATTCTACATAGATAAACTGAAAGAAATTCTATTCATCTAATTAACCCAGTAAAAAGTGATGGCCTTCTTATTTTGATGATGTTTAAGAAACAATTTACAACTAATATTGTTTGTCTAGTGTTTGTGTTTATCTATTTATTGTAGACAAACAACATGGAAACAATTTACAACTAATATTGTTTGTCTAGTGTTTGTGTTTATCTATTTATTGTAGACAAACAACATGTTGGAGGATGGATGGAATCGAGTGTTTGTGTTTATCTATTTATTGTAGACAAACAACATGTTGGAGGATGGATGGAATCGAGCATTCGCAATCATATTCAATGGAGGTTGACGGAATAGTGGTTGAAGCTTATGTAATTCAAATTGAAAATCCAAGTTCTAGCTTCATCCGCAAGTGTACCAAGTTGAGCTACATCGAAAATCAATTAAGCTTGGGCATATTTAGTTTAGATTTTATATTATGTGTGTTAGTACTTTAAGCTCAATCATATATACACACACATATTTGGTTTTTATATATATAGTTATATATATACACAAGTTTTGGTTTATGAACTTAACAATCATCGTATACATATTTCATTAAGTCTATAAAATTATTTCATAGGGTTTCAAAACATTGTTTATCTCAAAACATCAAATTTCATGTATATCACATTTTCATGTTTTGGACACACTTGCAAAATACATGAGTTTTCACAAATGGGAAACTCAATTTGAGAAATTCTTTTTCTAACATGTTCAATTTCATGTTTATAAATGTTTCTCAAAGTTTTATCAATTTTGGAATTAATTTGTTATGTTTATTTGAATTTACAAAATCAAGTTTTTAATAAGCTCATATTCGTGCATGTTTTTGCAAAACTGATGCGTTTTCACAATTGGGAAATGCGATTTGAAAAATTTCTTCGTTTACATGTTTATACTCATATATATAAACATTTCCCCAAGTTTTACTAATTTTGAAGTTGTTTTGTTATTTTTAATTGAATTTTGAAGTTTTTTGTTTATACTCAATTCGTGCAAGTTTTACTAATTTTGCAAAACTGATGAGTTTTCAACAGTTTTTTCAGAAACTGTATATCTGTGTTCAAACATTTATTTCTCTCAACTTGAAAGTGATATTTCAGAAATACTTTCTCTAACATGTTTATATACATGTCTAGGAACATCCCACAAAATTTCATGATTTTTGGAATTGATTTACTATTTTTAATTGATTTTACAAAGTCAGATACGTAAATTTCCAGAATGCTGGATTTTAGGGTATTTTGGTCTTTTCAACCTATAACGGCTAGTAACGATTAGTTTTTGATATTTTCGATTTTTGGGGGTTTGTGGCTGGTTTAAGAGGCTATAAAAAGCCCTCAACTTTCATTGTTTCTTATGGATGTTTAAGAGAGTTTTAAAACAAGTTTTACAAGTTTGTGAGAGTTTGTTTTAAGTTTTGAAGATTGTTTTAGTTTATGCAAAAAGAGGTTTACAAGAGAAGAAGATCATTTGTTTGGTGTTTGGGCTTCAATCTCATTCTCTCTCGCTCTTGATTCTTAGAGAAGTTTTTCTAAACTTATCTTTTAGCTTATTTATATTTTCATTCATACATATTTGTGCTAGATTGATTTAAGTTTAGTTGTTATCTCTCATTGATTGCACACCCCCACTTGAGCCTAAGTGTTTTCATACATAGTATATTTACGCCTCGTTTGGTACGCGGAAATGAGGAGGAATGGAATGCAATTCCCACTTCCCATTCCCTCATACCAAACACACCTATATTTTAGATGTTGGAATGACCATTCCCTAGGAATGATCATTCCCACTATTTGTGGGAATGAGCATTCCAAGTGAGAAGATAAGGAATGGTCATTCCCATTCAAGTGAGAATCAAAAACTAGTTAGGTATTTTTCAATTATATCCATATTAATAATAAAGAATGTTTGGGTGAGGCGCTATGCAAGTGGGCAATTTTAGATTGACAATTTAGGCTAGTATATCATTTTGCTATTTCGAAACTTATTATTTTAGTTGGTATTGTTTTATGGATTTTTGCTATTATGAATTGAGTGATTTTGATACTTTATCAAATAAGTTAATTTATATATCTAGAACTGTGGATTGTGGATATCATTCTTTTTTTTTGGACCTATGAAAGATACGATAATCTTTTTTTTTCTTTAATTTTTAAGACTAAGAAATAGCGAGTATTGTTTAAAAAATATAAACGAAACATACACCTGATGGATAACACGAGCATTAGTATAACACATACCTAGATTAATATAACATATGCGTATATAAAATTATTTAGTTATTATCATTAATGTTTATTTTTTATCTTATTAAAAATCTATGTTGTTGTAAGGGCATTATTAGAAAATAAGATTTCATTCTCACTTGTGTACTAGTGATACCAAACATGGGAATGAGAATGAGATTTCTATTCTAGCTTCATTCTACGAACGCACCCAAACAAGAGAATGAGAATGACCATTCCATTCCCACATGCAATTCATTCCATTCCTTCTTCCATTCCATTCACAAGTCTGTCCATTCCCGCGTACCAAACGAGGCGTTAGGGTTGTGAGATTGTATTCTTTGAGAGTGAGCATACATAGAGTTCTCATCCATTGTAGAGAACAAATCTTGTTGTTGAGCCTAATTGTGAGATACATTTTGTAATACACTTGTACACCGAGAGGAGTGTGTGGTGAGAGACGGGGTCGTCCCAAGAGGAGTGGGGTAGATGGTAATGCCTAGAGGTAGGTTGTAATTCCTAACACTTGAGGGAGACACGGGCTAGAGACAAACACTTGAGAGGGTGTAAAGTGTGATAGCAAGAGTGTTGATTGTAAAATTTTCGGTGAACTAGAAAACCGAGTGTGATGTGTAAACGTTATTCGGGTGAGCGTAGAAAACCCGGTTGTGATAGTAGAGATCTCGAGGTGAGGAGCGGGGACGTAGGTCGTGGGGACCGAACCTCGTGAATATATCATTTGTTTGTGATTGCATTGGCGCACTTATTTTTTGTGTTTATCATTATATCGCCTTTGTCAATTGCTCATTGTTTATATTGTCCACTATCTTATTTATCTTGTTTATGATTATTTCACCCTTGTGCTAGTTTATATATCCTTGCATATATTTTACTATATACCTCTTTGTTAGGATATATACCTCTTTGTTCATATCACTTATCCTTGCATATATCTTGTTGTATATCATACTTACTAGGATAATTTGTTAATAAGTTTTAATTGGCATTTAAATCGGATTAGATTAGCATAAACCCTATTCAACCCCCCTCTAGGGTTCTTTCCTAGTGGTATTAGGGTCTAACAAAAAGAGCCACGACCAAATGTTTTCTTAGACATTAAGCCATCCCGACTAAACCCACAGCTCTGGGGAAGCAACAAGGAGGCAGGATATGGTAGGCAATACGGTCCTCAAAAAATAGGAGAAGCACATAGTTACATATGTGTGCATGTAAGAGTGCAAACACTTGTATGTATGATAGTTCAAAAACTGATGCTACGAACTCTGTTTATATCTGGAATAAATTTACACAAATCTTTTCGATATTTTCTTATGCATAATGTATAATGTATAATGTAGCCAGTTAGTGCCTGTTCCAAAAGTGATTCATTATGATGGCAAGCCAAATGGACAGGCCTCCAGTTTAGCCAATATGGAAAGATTTGGCGGCAAATTTTGAGGATGTCATGCATTACTGGATTTCACTGAATTAATCGCACCTCGTTTTGTTTCAGATTCTAGCCCTACCCAATTGCCGCCATTCATAAAACATAACACACAACCAATAGTCTAAAAATATCCTACGGATCCATTCTACTTTAATTTTGGACACCATTTATGAAGTCCAATATGCATTTAGTTATAATGCTGGGAAACCGGTTCAGTTATACAACAAAGAAGTTTATGAATGCAAAACTCCTCTTCATCTCCAATAAGCTTCAAATTAAACCCAACATATTATCCTCCTGTATCCTCTTTCTTTTATATCCTAAGTCCTGTTCATCTTTATGTTATATTCTAAATGATAATTGGTTTAAAAGAGATTGATGTTGCAGCATGGCCAGATGATAGTGTCACGTTATCTTGTTAGGCATGTGTAGTCACTAAACTATGTGTATACTCAAATAATATCTAAGATAATTTCAGGTTCTCTCTCAGTACATCTACCCTTGCTTAAATTGTCTGTTCCAAATGAAATAAACCTTGTGTGGGTACTAGCAAGAATCAGGATACATTTGTTGAAAATTCTTATGAACAATCTAATGTTAATCCAAGTAGAATATTTGAATCAGGGACTTCAAATCTAACTACCCAAGTGATTCATTCTTCACAGTAGCTAAGTGGCTAAATGTTAACTGATTGATAATAGTTTTGAGTATGTCTATTTCTTCTGAGAACAAAGCAATAAAACAAGCTTAGGCTAACTGCAGCAATCTCTTAGATTCATTGAGAACAGAATACCACAAATAGAATCTCCATGTAGGAGATTGGTCAAGAAAGCCAACCACATTGGTACTGCAAGTGCAAAATATTCATAACAATGAATTGAAAACATGCTAACAAGCACGAACGTTGTAATTAGATAACTAACTCGATCGGTAGAGACAATTTTCACCTGGCTCTGCAATTAATTCAAACTAAAATATCCACAATAATGCTTATCAAGTTCAATTAGCAGTGCAGAATTCCTGAAAAGCAAGATGATATCAATAATATAGTGTACAACAATGCAAATAAGGCTCACCTTTGTCACCACATAATCTATCGAAGGCTCAAAACTAGCTGGTGTCTTCTTAGTGATATCATTTGGAATCTGATCCAGGGTATAACCAACTGACAGCTTTGCAGCTATCTTTGCAATAGGAAAACCTGTTGCCTTCGAAGCAAGAGCTGATGATCTCGACACTCTAGGATTCATTTCAATCACCATCACCTCTCCATCCTCAGGATTCACCGCAAACTGCACATTAGAGCCTCCACACTCCACCCCAATCTCCCTAATAATAGCAATTGAATAGTCCCTCAATCTCTGGTACTCCTTATCAGTAAGAGTCTGAGCCGGAGCCACAGTAATAGAGTCCCCTGTATGCACTCCCATCGGATCAATATTCTCAATCGAACAAATGATGACTGCATTGTCAGCAAGATCCCTCATCACCTCAAGTTCATACTCTTTCCACCCAAGAAGCGATTTTTCAACCAGAACCTGATAATTTAACCCAAAAATGATAAGCCCAACAACTAACATTTGCAAAAGTTGACTCTTTACTTATACTACACATTGCAAAGAAGGCCCTGTCAACCCAATTAATCATTTACGAAATCCAAAAGTTGACCCCTTAGCTCATATATTATATTTCAAACAAGATCCTGTCAACCCAATAAACAATTCTGAAAAGATCAAATTTTGATTAAAAAAATCACCTGAGAAGTCAAGCTAGCAGCAAGTCCCTTCTGACAAATCTCCTCAAACTCATCCTTATTATAAGCAATCCCACCACCAGTCCCTCCCAAAGTAAACGCCGGCCGAATAATCAAAGGAAAGCCCCCAATTTCATCCGCAATCACCGAGCACTCCTCCATCGTATTCCCAATCCCCGAAGGCGGCGTCTTCAGCCCAATCGCCGCCATCGCCTTCTTGAACAAATCACGGTCCTCCGCTTTCTTAATCGCATCGAGCTTCGCCCCAATAAGCTCGACATTGTACTTACCGAGAGCTCCAGACTCCGAAAGCGCCACAGCGAGATTGAGCGCGGTCTGCCCGCCCATCGTAGGGAGCAGAGCGTCGGGGCGCTCGGTGGAGATTGATCTCCTCGAGGATTTCAGGGGTCATGGGGCCCACGTAGGTACGGTGGCCAGGTTGGGCGTCGGTCATGATGGTGGCGGGGTTGGAGTTGACGAGGACGACCTCGTAGCCCTCGTCGCGGAGAGCCTTGCGCGCCGGGTGCCGGAGTAGTCGAACTCGCAGGCCTGGCGCATGACGCATGGGGCCGCGCGCCGAGGATCAGGATCTTCTTGATGTCGGTGCGTTACCGCCGCGCGAGCAGTGGCTGGAACCGGGGTGCCGGGATTGCGAGCGGGACGGGGGAGGGAGGCAGAGGCGGGCGAGGCGAAGGGAGGGAGAGGGGAGGTGAGGCAGAGCCGCAGGTGGGTGAAGGCGGACGGAGGTGGGAGGAGGAGGAGCGAGCGCGAGCCGGCGGGAGCGAAGAGCGAGGAGGTGGGTGGAGAGCGGCGGTTGAGGAGAGAGGAGGGTTTTGGCGGATCCGGCGAGTGAGAGGGAGCCCGAGCAGCAGCAGAGAGACGCCGCCATTGACGGAGGTTGATGGTGATGAGATGGAATAATTTATGGGAATGGAGAAGCTTAGTTAGGGTTTTGGGAGAGGGATGGATAGAAAAGGGTTGTGCTAGGGTTTTGGAAATGGAACGCAGCGATCGCTGTAGAGACGTTAAATGGGTCTGTATGCGACATAATCAAAGTGGGCGGACGGGTACTCAGCAATTGCTAAAGGGATGAGTTTTTGCACGCCCATTTAATAATAAGCGGAGGGCTGGTCCGCTCATTTAGCTATAATAGTTTTTTGCAAATTTTATAAGTTTGAGGGTGTTTTTAGAAAATTTAAATTTAAAATGGGCTATTGTAAATTTTTAGATGTTCAAATATCAAAAGTTAAAGAAAATTTACAGTTTAAACTTTGAAAATAAGAAATTATTTTTCATTGTCCCTCCTGATATTACTTTAAAATATCACGTTGATAAGTTAGACGAGAAATTTTTTTTAAATACGGGGTAAAAACCATCTGTAAGTAAATTTTCAAATTCATCATCTTCTATTAATTTAAAAGGAAGATTTTTAAAAATAATAAAATTGATGACGCATTTCCTAGCTCGGACTGCGTCATAATTCTAACTACCGAGACTATCAAAATATGAGGATTAGGAGAGCATAGATTGTCGGATATCACTTTGAGGAGTCTGACCTTTGTTGTGTTTATCTAAATGGTGTTTGAGGTGGTTGGTACCGCTCTTATGATGAGCTTGGATAATATGGCCGCACAACGCACACTTAGCCTTCTGGGTGAGAAGCCTACTGTGTTCATCCCTGGTGACGTCTACCTTCTTGAAAAAAATCCACACATCGGATCTCGGCCTTTTAAGAGCTCTTGGTGTAGTAGAATCATCGTCACCGGATTCAGGATCAACACGGTAGGAGTACAAGTAGCTATACCTCCTATAGTAGGAGAACTCATTTCGGGAGTTGGGTTTTTCCCTTCATAATCAGATGAGGAAGCAATTTGATTAAAGAATTAGAGAGCTAAATCGATTATTAGAGAGTATAAGAGAGCATTAGAGAGAAGTAGATGAGTTTTGGATGAGAAAAATAAATAAAAACCTCCTCTATTTATAGAGGCAGCCCCTAGACAAATGACCAAAATACCTTCAAAATTTGATCGTTTTTAACCATTTTGGGGGTATTTTGGTCAAACGATCAAAAATAGCCATTTATAGTCATTACGACTGGGCCGGGTTGACCAGGCCCGACCCGACTTTTGTCACTAAACGGTCACTTAAGTGACCATTTGGGCCGGGCCGGGCCACGGCCCGACCTGGCAACTCTGGCCCGACCGTTTTTTGGCCGGGCAGGATCGGGCCAGGAACCTAGTTTGGCTCGGGTTTCCAGGTCTCGAAAACTCGGGCCTAACCAGGTCAGGGCCGAGCACCGGGCCGGGCCCGGGCCTCAGACCCATTTGGACACCCCTAGGCTTATGCCTTATGCCTCTGGGTTTCACATCTTACGGACAACTACTTTTACCTTTCATCTTATTATCCTTTAAAAGTATGATAATAGTATGAAAAATAATTTGTATTTATTGTAATTATAATAATATTAATAGTATAATGATTGTAATAGTATCTTTAAATTAATAATTATATTGTAATTTAATATACACAATTCAGTAAATTATTTACTAATATTATAATAAACTAATTATGAAATTAAAATGTAGTTACTAATAGTACTATAATTATGCTATGTATAATATTATTATATTTAAAAATAATAAATTATTTAATATACTATAATTATTTTTATAAATTATGAATAAATTGTAATAATTATCCAAACTATTATAGTTAATCATATAATTCTTTATATACAGTTTTATCATACAATTTATTCATTTAAACAAAATCCTAATTGTTCAAAATTTATATTGCTATATACGTCATTTCATTATTTTGCACCGAACAAAAAAAAATGAAAAACATAAAACAAAACAGGTACACTCTCGTGCAAAGCACGTGCACCATACTAGTCACGACAAAAAACGAATTCATATATTAACTCCATGCACATAAAATGTCACCACAAAACCAAATAATATGGTGCTGAGTTCTCTAAAAAAATTAAATGTGCATAACATAAATAAATAAAGTCAAACAAAGATCTACAATTCTATCACATACATCTTAGATGCCTTTTCATTCCCCTCTCTCCCCTTCTCAACCCCATATTCACTAGCATGCTCCACGACATGAGCTCGATGTCTGGCTGTGTGTTTGAATGTGATGAGACATCAACATATTGTTGTGAATATCTAGCTTTATCACGTTCCTGTAGGACGGTTGTTATGCGCAGCGAAAATTTCGGCAGCACTTCTGGTGCACAACAAGAGAGTAAGATCACAACTAAATCCATGTTTCACAAAGGAAACAAGAATCGAAAGTAATATATCTCAACAAAGTGGGATATACATTCTTCCTCTCATCAGTTCTAGGACTGACTTGTCCAGGGAACCTAATAAGCTATTACAAATCACAACAAGACAAACTATTTTACGTGGTTCGACAAGTTGCTTACGTCCATGGGGCAAGGAGGGGGAGATCTACTATTAGAGAGAAAGAGAATACAAATAGGGTTTACAATCACACAAGATCTTACAAATAAAAACCCTCAAACAATCTCTTGAATCTCTCATAATTTCTCTCTCAAAAAGGATGCACAAACCCTCTCAAATTCGGCTCCAAAGAGTGCTCTCAAATTCGGCGTGGACCTTCTTTGCTTTTTCCCTTCTTTGCTTTTCTTCTTGCTGCAGCCGAAAAATCTCCTCTGCCAAAAAAAACAAAAACCCTTGCACTCAACCCTAGAAAGTATAGTTGTTATTTATAGGAAGAATATGAGAACGGGTGGGCCTGTCTTGCTTAAATTTGGGTGTTCTCGTGAACACCTCACACACAAAGAAGGGACACACGCACGATGTGGCCCCCACCCCCACTCACAATTCTCCACCTCAGTGAAGTTTCTTCCAAAATCGAGCCGATACCAAATCATCCAAATGTCCTACTTGTATCCAGTACACCGTGAAATTAATTCACGACAACAGACTCAATCCACAACAAGTCGAGAATACGAACGAGAGTCTAAAAAATCTCACCCCCATCAAAATCAACTACTCCAAACCAGCTGCATCAAACATGATTGCTTACGTATCCTCTTGTCTAAGAAATTAACCCAAACGTAGTTCACCCAAATGGCATCCAAAGGCCTCAACATCGAATAATGTCCAAAATCTCTAAATAATGACCAAACTTAACACCTGAAACAACTTTGGTCAACATATCCGCAGGGTTATCCTTTGTGTGGATCTTCTCCAATATGACATCTCTATCATCCAAGACATCATGAACGAAGTGGAATCTGACATTAATGTGCTTCGTGCGTGCATGATAGACCTATTTCTTTGCCAATTAGATAGCTGACATGCTATCACAATACACCTGAATGGTCTCCTGCACAATCCCCAAGTCTTCTAACAATCCACGCAACCATAAAGCCTCATTCACAGTTTCAGTCATTGTCATATACTCCACCTCTGTAGTAGAGATAGCCACTGTATACTAAAGTGTACATCTCCAACATACCGATGCTTGTCAAGATCTCCCACATAATCTGAATCCATATATCCGATATAATCCTACATGTCTTCTCATTCTTCTGAAATACCAAACTAACATCCATGGTACCTTTCATATACCGAATAATCCACTTCACGGCCTCCCAATGACCCTTCTCAGGGTCGTGCATGTACCTGGATATCATGCTCATAGCCTATGATAAGTCTGGTCTTGTACACACCATACCATACATCAAGCTACCTACCGTACTGGCATATGGAACCTTTAACATGTAATCTATGTCCTCAACTAAAATAGGTGACATCAAAGCTAAAAGCTTGAAGTGGAAAGCCAATGGAGTACTCACTGCCTTTGCATTGCCATCAAAGTTGAATTTCTTCAACATCTTCTGCAAATAACTCCTCTGTGTAAGCTTCAATCTCTCCTTCATCCTGTCTCTCTCGATCTCCATACCCAATATCTTTTTTGCCTCTCCAAGATCCTTTATCTCAAACTCGGATGATGGCTCCTTTTTCAACTTTCGAATAGCCGAAGAATTCCTAGAGGTAATAAGCATATCATCAACATATAGTAACAAATAGATGTACTCACCATCCTATAGCTTGTGCATGTAAACACATGGGTCATATGGGCTCCTCGTGTACTAACGGTTAATCATAAAGTCGTCGAATCTCTTGTACCATTATCGCGGTGATTGTTTCAATCCGTAAAGAGACTTCTTCAGCTTGCACACCAATTATTCCTTTCATGTAGGTTTAAACCCCATATGCTGTGTCATGTAGATCTCCTCATCTAAATCTTCATATAGAAAGGCTGTCTACACATCCATCTGGACCAAATCCAAATCCAGCTGTGCTACCAATGCCAACATAATCCTAATTGACGAATGCTTTACAACAAGTGAGAATACCTCATTATAATCAATGTCCTCAAGCTGTGTATAACCATTAGCAACCAATCTGGCTTTGTACTGAACATCCCTAATAGAAGATTCTTCTTTCTTTACATACACTCACTTGCATCCAATAGCCTTCTTACCCTTTGGTGGCTTTGCAAGTTCCTAAGTGTCGTTCTTCTGA